TGGAAACGGAGGGTCTACAGGGGTTCAAGGAGAAGATATCTGTTGCTTGTGCCGAGAGAGAAGAACAGAATCGAAGGAACGAAACCGAGGATAAGGGGGGTCTAGAAATGTACGGAATGTTGAAGGAAGGAATAGGGTTCAAGGATTACCCACATGGACCAATGGATGCAGGAACAAAGCTTAAGGTCAAATTCAGGACCGGGGACATAGGCCTTCGAGAACGTCGACGAAGACATAAGACGGTAGACGACGAAGACGACAAGTTCAAATGTGATTGCGGCTTCGAATGCGAAGACCGTGTTCATGTAGTGGCGGAATGGCCGTTGTACAAGAAGGAGAGGGAAGTGTACGTGACTGAGCTGGGAAAAATAGAAGGGACGTACAGGGAGATGTTTGAGGCATGGAATAGAGAGGGAAGGACGGTAGCGGTACTGGGCATAGGAGGTGGGTTGAAAAGGCGGGAAGAGATATCGTTAGGATAGACAGACTAGGGCAGACATTTTTGAGCCACCATTGGCAAAGTCGAAAGGAACGATTGGCCATCGGTGATCGGTCCTGTGGGAACAATGCTCCGTCCTCTCGAGGACGCGTGGTCAATGGTCTAACCGCTATAAGGCATGCCAAACATAAGAGTACACCCCCCCCGCCCATGGCGTTGACAACAGTAACCAACCCTGCTCATTCATGCATAAAATTGATTTCGGGCGGAGCGCGAAAAAGTTTTGGGGGCATGTTTTCTTTCGCGTTGAAAATAGTTTGACTACATACAGCGTACGATTATAATAATATATATTTATCATTCAACACACATTCATTGTGTTTGAACGTTAGATAGATTTTGATCGCTACGATCATCAACGCATTATTTATTGTTGCTCCAACATGTATCAATCGAACTCGGTAAGAACTTATCGTACCTTGCAATATCCATCGATGAACAACTGAAAGCGTGCTTGTCGAAGCGATACTAATCGAAGACTCGTAGTTTATTTATCCTATGCATGTCGCGGGAGCAAAAATAAATTAAATGCGATGCGTCTCTCGTTTCAATCTATCGTTTCTCACAATTACATATATAGTCTATATATAATATCCATGCACCCGGAACCATCATCATATTGATTACTTACTACTGTAAAAATACGTATCGACTATCGACACTTTAACTATATATATTGGTTGTTAGACCAATATTCGTCGATTACTAGCCTATATATATCCAAGTATTGTCCAGGGAGGGGGTGTAAGGGCCACACCCTCGGCCCACACTACATGGTGGATGGGCCACCATTCTTCGTGCTCTACACGTTGATTTATCGACAAGACGAATATTCAGGGCAATCAATGGAGGAAATGGTATACAGCCCCGCACATGGCCACCACTCTATCTATCTAATAAAAAGATGCCATATGCTATCGGGCCACATCTATCTCTTGAAAAAAAATATATTATAATTATGTGTCCCATATAGTAAATCCTACATAATAATGGCCCTTGAATCAGTACACTTTGGGGGAGGAGCGGTACGTACGCACCGGGTCATACCCACAGATACATACATGCTGTATTATACCAGAAACAGTACATACATTGATATCGGGAGAGCAGTAGTACACAATAACTTGTTGTTTGTATCGATATGCATTGCAAAGAGCAACACATCAGATCATTGAACATCTCATCGATAATATACATATCGTGAGAACCAAATGCTTTTCCGTCGATGTACAAGTATTATTATTGCATCATATTGATTGACCCGTGCAGCACTTTCCAACATACATGTATGTGGAGCAAAACCGATTGGTCGTTGCAATACTAGCTAGTATGTTTCGAACAATAATGTTACCGTAATTGAGCCAGAGGTAGATTCACGAACTGCCAATCGATGCATATATTCCCAGAACGCTACCCTCGCAAGAAAACATATCAATGCGTATTATTTCATCAGCCACCAGCACGTGACGTATTACGATAGGAACGTATCGATATATATATACATATATATGCATCGACTAGACTATATAGACTATGGATGCATTGACTGCTGAATGTATTGTATTTTGTCCTGGGTGTCGGATAATATTGACCTGTGTTCAGGAAGTCGTTGAGACGAAAGACCTAGACTAATACTGCTGTTGAGTACATCATGCGCATATATAAGGACATGATGCGAAAGTGGGGCGGCACAAGAGTACTCCTGCTGTGTCAGGCGGCGGCATCATCTTTTTGGGAACAAAACGCGTGTGTGTGGCTCTCTTTCTATTATTGTTGTTGTCGGGTGTTTGCTGCTGGAAAAAAGTGTGTGTGTGCACTGGATGGAGAGTACATGTACAAAAAAGAGGAAATGTTTCTCGCTCCATCTATCTCTCCCTCAAGTACACACACGCAACCAACACACCCTTTTCATCCTTCCTCGGTCCCTCCGGCTCTTTTCAACCCGGGCGACAAACATCCTCTGGCTGCAACACCAGAGGAAGCCGCATCGGTTAGAGTGGCCAGCCCCTGTCGATCGTTCCCACAGGGGATCCTCTTGAGAGCAGCAGCATCATCAGTGAGGAGTGAGCAGTGAGCAGAAGCAGGCACGATGAAGGCCCGCGGCACAAAGAGCGAGCGTGGGAACGCCGTGCCCAAGACGAATGTGGAGGACATCGTGGAGAAAGACTCCCCCGCGGCCATGAGCTCCTTCCTGGCGACGAGGGGCGAGGCCCGTGGCCTCTCCACGAAGGCCCAGGCCGAGCTCCAGGAGGAGATAGGCAAGGTCTCCAAGCGCATTCACGACAAGTGGGGTACCCTGGAAAAGAAGTGGAGAGATCTGGAGAGAGACAGAAGAGATGCGGCCAACTCCTACGGCATCACCGGGGGCGGCGGCCCTATTGTGGAGCTCAACGTTGGCGGCACGGACATGGACGTTCTACGAGAGGACCTGGTGAGGGCCGAGGAGTCCGTGCTAGCACTTGTTTTCGGCGGTAGATGGGAGGGCCGGCTGCCGCGGGACTCGCGTGGGCGCGTGTTCGTGGACGTCTCGCCGTCGGTCTTCCGAAAAATTGTGCAGTTTTTGGTCAAGTTGGGACGGGCGACTCCAGGCAAGCCTGTCGAGCTGCCCACCCTGACCCCCGAGGAGCAGCCGAACTTTGACCACCTCGTGCTGGTGCTGGGCCTGTGGCGGCATGTGTACGAGGGCCGCGCCGCGTTGGCGCCGCCGCCCCCCGCTCGCGTCAAGCCGAAGGACATTCCTGCCCCTGCTGTCGACCCGGCTGATGCTAGAAAGTTTGGGAGGCAGGTGGCCACCGCGTTCGCCGTGGAAGAAGTCGTTCTCGAGACGGCCGAGCTCGAGTACCAGGCCGCCAAGGAGAAGTACGACAGAGAGGTGGCCTCGGTGGCGGAGTTCGCGGGTGCCCCTGGCGGCTTTGGGAGGGAAGGCGTCGATGACGACATGGTGGAACTCAACATCGGCGGCACAGTCGTGTCTACGAGGCGGTCAACGCTGACCAGGTGCCCGAATTCGGTTTTGGCGAGGATGTTCGACCACAGCACCGAAAAAAAGACCCCCCCTTTCGTCAGGGACACGAAGGGGAGGTACTTTGTGCAGTATAACGACTACTGCTTCGCGAAGATCATCGACGTGCTGAGGATGAAGCGCTGGCCGTGGCCTCCGATCAAATCCTCGTTCGCGAACGGCACGACGCTGGACGCGATGAGCAACAGCAGGTTCCGCATCTTCGTGAGAGAGGACGAAAGGGAGGACTTCAGTTCGCTCACATCTTATTTCTTCCCCGGGAATGAGAACTTCATCCACGAAGCAATCGGAAGGGTGAGTGTTCATCCACGAAGCAATCGAACTTCGCAATGTTTGTATGTACACACGCACAGCGAGGCCATCGCTCGCTCCGCGCGCGTCGAGTGCGTGCGCTGTTGAGTTTGGAGTGCTCTTGCTTTGTTTAGACACACGAGGCTGCCCGCGTCTCAGTCTCCGCCTGTAGAAGGTGATTGTGATTCGATGTGATGATTATATTTTGTAAAAAAAACACACACATCCTCCCGCCGCTCTCTGCCTTACTACGGATGTGAGAATTGATCCGATTCATGAACGGACGAGTTGAGATATCAAGGCAAGCTCTGGGCGTGCCGAGCGGGAGACTGTTAGACAGGAATGCCTTGGTCGCGGCAGCCAACATCATCCCGTGCGCTTATGTTTCGCGCTGAGATCGCCAAACAGGGCTCTATCTTACTCCCAAGAGCTCCAACCAGTGCTCGAATAAACAACAAATAATCGAAAAAAAGTAGAAACGAGACCGACACACGGCAGCAGACACGGCAACTTTCCCCATTACAAGCCAGTGCATTACAGAAATTTTAAGTTCCATGCGATGCGATAACGTGAAAACGTGCATATCCACACTGCTGCAGTAAACATGTACGGGCATGCCTCTACCTTAGAGCTTGTATTCTTTTATGGTAGCGGTATCTCCCACAGCTTGATTTCGATACACGTTGTTTCCGAAATGGGCAACGCATGCATGCAAGGCTTTTTCTGCTTTTTTTGCCCGCTCGTGTGGCTCTGTTTTGTGAACGGTCATGTTCCGATTAAAATTCCGGCGAGTTGGCTGCGGCGGATACTCTGGCGTTCTCCGTTTGGTTTCAACCCTGAACGCATGCCACATCGTCAATGTCACGTGCCACGTGGCGAACGCAGCAGCAGTGTATGTCGTTCGCTGACTGGCGAGGCCTTGACATCGTGGGACGGTGGGCGAATTTGTTGATTTTGAACGACCCGTTGGCTTCTTTGGGCGCATTTTCCCACCACTTATTTTCTGGTGCTTTCCAAAAGTACAGGTAGTTCCCGATTCTATCGTGGAGAGTGATACAAATGTACTGCACTCAAACTCGATAACGCTACAGGCGCAGTAATCGAAACCGTTTCGTTGAAAGCTATTGTAGCGCATGTATACTTGTATGTGCACCATTTGATATTGGCATCCTCTTTGTCGTGCAGTATGAACCTTTGAAAATGGGGGTATGGTATCTTGCGCAACCCGCGGGATGCAGGACTCGTTACTCCCCGTTATCATCTGTGTTTTCATGTTCATATTTTGCACATGTTTTGGGAACGCTCAATATACTCGCATCCCTCCACGGTTCTCCTTCCCATGTATATGATCTTATTAATCTGTCTAAGAAGTTATAGACCAATCCCTCATGAGTATTTGTTACACGATAGTAGGGAAAGGTTAGGTCCTTGTTTGATCACCCTCGCTCTCAGAGTACGGGCGTCAAACACAGAGAGGCAGTACAGTGCTGTTGCTGTTGTGTACAGCACCAAACAAAATGGAAAGACTTCAACGGTGTCAACGTCCATGGTTCGCTCGAAAAACTCAAGGCTGCTGTCCCCGGTAATGGTAAGCTCTAAGGGTGAAAATAATAACTCTGCGCAACATGTCGCAAATACAATTAGTTGTGTCTGGCGGCGAAATTAGCGGGAATATCAAAATCTGCGGTCATCCAAGTTTCAGAATTGGCCCGCTGCATGTATTGAACGTAAGTACAAACACAGAAAGACTATTGTACCCATTCGAGATATGACCACCGTCGAACTGAATGTGTTAAAGTCTTGACAGTAAATGGATGGAACGATGTATGTAGAAGTTCACCACGTACCGCAGACAGGGATTTCAACTGGCAAAAAAGACGGGGGAGGGAGAATATGTTACCGGTTCGTGGAAAGTCAAACTAGAGGCGGTAAAACGCAGGATTTCCAGTCAACGCGTCGAGTCACGGCCTTGTAGTTACCGGGAACATTTATGGAAAAATACGCATGTCGGTCATTTCGATATACCAACACCAAGAAGTGCTCGTTTTTGCGTTGCGGAGTGCGAAAACAAACAGAGCGAAAATGCCGCAGCCCAACGCATGGCAACTGGAAATATTTCGAACAGATACCACGGCGGCGGGAAATCTTGGAATTTCGCCGCCTTGTCGGAGGATGTTGTACTTAGCTCGGCCTCTTGTATTGTGTGTGTTTCTCGTGTGCATGTGGGTTTCGGTGGGAACATGTGCGGATCCTGTTCGGTCGTACACACGAACCTCTTGAAGGAGCGTCTGCTCTGTTCATTATCTGCAGTGTCGGAGTTGATCGCATAGGAGTGTGTGTGAGCGTACGCATACCGGATCCGATACACCCGAACCTCGGTGAAGGGCATCATATGATTTTTTCTTTAAAATGTGTCCATAAGCCGGACACCCCTCCTGTGTTGTAGGAGTATTTTTTGCGGGCCACCATGACTGAAAAAAAGTTGTCCTCAGCCGAGGGAGTTAACGTAAATTTTGGTTTCGTTGAGCGGGTACGACTGCTGTACTTTGTTGGGTTTGCTCACTGGGGTGGAAAGAACGAAGACAAACCGACGGTATGTAGCACCTATACAACCGGGATCGCATAGGGGTTGTTGCATTTGCCCGCAGCAACGGAACATAAGCTCATGATCGCTTCTTGGAGCTTCATGTGGCCGCTGCTTTTGGCTGTAGTTTAGGACTTGATCTGGATCATTGTTCGCAGCCTTTGGCAAGCCGTAGGGCCCTCATCGAAGTGTATACGGACAAGTCCGTCTGGACGTATGATTGTTCATCTCTTTCGCTGTGGAGTGTCGGCCGAATGTAAATGGGACCTTGGCGGAAAAGCCACCTTCCTACAGCTGAAATGAAGAGACTTGAATTCACACCTGACGGCGCGCGCGTCAAAATTATTTCCAGCTAGAAGCAAGCACAACCAATTTTACTGAAGTAAACACAAACACCAATAGGAAAGACGCGGTTCGCCTGTTACCCCGTTCGAGGCGAAGGCAAAGTGTAGCCATGTATCGCGGATGACGACTCTTGCTTGAGATGGCCCTGCGTTTCAATGTCGTATCATCCAGCAGTAGTCCTGTTAGGAGCACGAGTTGATGACCCATTTCGGCTCAGCAGTCGGTCCAAAACTAGGAGTCTGAGAAACATGAATGTTTGAAGCGAAGGCGCGATATGTTGGGTTTGTCGTGGATTGAGTAAGGAGCACGGGCGAATATTCCGCCACCGGAAGCAATCTTCACGCGTTGACGACCCACGAGACATTGAAGTAGACAAGAAGCGGCCGTTTCGGATAATAGCTTTGCAACGTTTTGTCAACTCCTTAGATTGTAATCCCACTGGAGGTGCGGGCCGAAGCAACGGAAGTGCGCGCATCAGGGGTTTGCGGAACATTTGCGCCTCGTCGCATGGCGTTTTGGCAATACAGGACAAACAAAACGGCTGAGAGATACTACAGAGAGTAACGTTTGGTACATACTGACAACGACAGGACCCAAATTTGGAACTGCTTGTGTTCCTGGTTGTCATTCCAACGCCGAACCTGTGCACGACATTATTAGTCGTGGCCAACGAGAAGAGAGATGCACACGTAGGACAGATGATGAGCTAGCTTTTCTATGTCCTACAGGTCATGCATGGAGTAAACATACACCGGACATTTATGTCCTAGGGAATAGCTAGCTGGATGTGCAGGGATCTGATCTGTCATATGTGTGGAACAAGCGAGCGCACCAAGTACCGTCGCGACCCTCCGTTTTTCCAATTGCTTTTCGTTATCAAACAACCGCTGTCTGCAACTACCTCATTTTCAGGCTGGCAATGCCGGCGCGAGCAGGATGGGAAGAGCCTCGCAGCCGAGGTCGAAGGGCATCATGCCCCCGGATCCGTCGCTAGACCTGGATCCTGTGTCTTCCGCCGATGACCCGGAGCGGAGTGACCATCGCGACCTGCGCGATCGTGACCGCGACCACCGTGATCGGAACCATCGCGATCACCGGGACAGGGACCGCGACAGGGACCGGGACAGGGACCGCGACAGGGACCGCGACAGGGACCGGGACAGGGACCGCGACCGGGACCGGGACGGGGACAGGGACCGCGACCGGGAACGAGACCGGGACCGGGACCGCGACCGCGACCGCGACCGCGACCACCGATCCTCGGCATCGCATAGTGGACACCACGGCCTAACAAAACGCCGGAGCTCTCGGATCGACCCTAAGAAGCTTCCGTCCGAGATTTCTGTGCTTGAGATCCGTGTCGGTCTTGTCCGCAAGGTGGGTGTAATCATAGTCGTGCATGCCGTAGTCGTTAGACCGTTGACCTCGCATCCCTACAAAGCCGGGACGGAGCACGCCGGGTTCTCACCGGACCAGGCTTTCACATCACCAAGCGCGAAGCGCCGTGAGATATTCGGCGAGTCGCATGAAGGGTGCGCTGCATCCTGCTGAGGGTTTTCGGCATCTTGTGCTTACTTCCTTGCGTACGGATGACAGCTGCGTATGACTTAATTTATTTCTGGTGCTTTCACTTCCTGAGACAGTTGTAAGCACTGTGTAACTGCCTCGAGGGTGCTTGACCATTTTAACACAACGTGGTGCGATCATCCCCCTTGCGCGGAGCGAGG